GGCATATTGGATATCGGCCAAAATCCCAATATCGTGCATCCCTAGTACAGAGCAATGAAATTTCCTCTCTGCATTTAACCCATCCCTTTGGGGAGCAGTGGGCTGCCATTGAACAGTGCCCAGGGAGCATTGAAGGGGTTAAGCGTCTTGCTGAGGGACCCAGAGTGGCATTCCGTGGGAGTGGGGTTTAAACTGTGAAGGGTCTTGCCTGGCAGCTCATTCCCACCAGCTAGGATACAAACTCAGGCTTCCAATTTGCAGGATGGGTAACCTACTACTTTAACCAGCCACTATCTAAAGACCAAATGGGGTTTGGAGGTCTATTGCATAGCTTCTGACTTGGACGATAAAAAAAACAACAACCTTAAGATGACATTAGTCTGAACTAAACAACCTTTGCACTCCTGTTTTCTTGACACTAACGAGACCCAATGGTTATAAATGCATTTTGATAAAACATCTAAAACATTTCCTGAACTTTAAAAGCACATGACTAATGTCCAAATACTCATCTATCAGTGGTGATGCTAAGGTTAAACTTAACATAACGCAGCCTTTTCCTAGAGTTCGAGTAAAACGTTTCCAGCCGTTGATGTCTGCAAGCATGTCTTTGAATATTCTCTAAAAGTGCAAAGAAACGGGTTTGAAACAATAGTAATTGTGCTTTCAGTTTTGATCTGACAAAATTTTCCAAGGTAGATGGAACTAAAACACACTGACATGCGAGTGACCCGCAGATATCGGATTTTTTCCAAGCTTTTGCTGCAGGAACCTTATTTACGCTTCTAATGAGAGAGAGAGACACACTTTAATAAAGTTGAACAGTTAGTTTACATGTTTGTTTATTAATGTGTTGATAACTAATCATTATATTACTGTAATAATTAATTGATTGATGCTTTGAGGCATTGGATATAAATAACTCTAAAACAGATGTGTCGATATTATGATAGAAAATAATCATAGTTTACCATAATTTATGCACCCAAAGAGAAGACATATGAAGTTGAAGGTTTTCTTAATATATATATCACAATAGACAAAGACTCTATGTGAACTTTAGTGAGAAATAATCACTCCAGACACAGCCGTTTCCTTTCCTAGAATTCGATTTAGAATAAACTTTATTGTCACGAGTACAAAGCAACGAAATGTGGTTTGCATCTATCCAGAAGTGCTATACAGGATGTAAATATTATTACGGGTGTATGTACAAGCAAAAAGTAAAAGTTAGGGACTGTAAAAAGTTGTGTATAAATAGAAATATGATGAATATGGGAGCTACATGCACAAATTATACAGATTATACAGAATATACTGTACAGGAATATTAGGAAAAGGAATATATACGTATTAGTGGGTTTATAATACAAGATAAATAATCACAGATAAGATTTACTAGATTTCCTAGTTATCATACTATGGAGGAAGAGGTCTATGTAAAAAGTAACACAACCAGGAACACTTAGTGCGCTTTCATATTTAAACAAAGAGCCCTAACAAATAAATAAAAGGGTTTATATGTATTTTATGTGTTATAGATTTCTTGAAAACTGTTTTTTTTATGCACAAATATACATACATGTGCTTTAATGTTACTTTTTAACTCCTAGATTTCCTACTTGGTTGAACATTTTGTTCAATCTCATATCCTGAGCTATTTCTATAGTTATGCTGCTATAGGCTTAGACTTCTGGAGGACATAGGGTCCCCTATTTCCTCATTCTGCTTCATTTTATCTCTATTCTCCCACTCTGAAGAATCTGTTAGTTCAATTTCTAACGTTCTGCTCTCTCTGCTTTTTTTCATAGTAGCTTTGCCTCGTCTCTTCCTGTTCGGCTGTGACTCCAGCTGTGCTGCTGCCATCAACATCTTTGTTTATAGCTGTTGGAGATCAGCCTGTTTTTCAGTGTAGTCCTGTTTTTCTGACTGTGACTGGTTGTATGTGCTCTCTTCGTCCTCTGACATGGGAGCTGGCTCGGAGCTCGTCTGCCTGGCTGTGTGTTCACAGCTGCTTTTTGTATCTCTACTTCTGTCTCCTTGAACCCCAGTCGGCCTCAGCAGATGGCCGCTCACACTGAGCCTGGTTCTGCTGGAGGTTTCTTCCTGTTAAAAGGGAGTTTTTCCTCTCCACTGTCGCTAAAAGCATGCTTAGGGTGAGGGATTGCGTTTGAGCCAATGAGTCGATGCAATCAACTGACTTTCCTTAGATATAAAACTTTGAATCAATATGACTGTATGATCTGGTGAACTGTAAAGTGCCTTGAGTATGTGTTGTGAATTGGCACTATAATCTTTTTGTAATGCTTTAAATTATCCCTTATCTTCTTTTTACATTCTGTGCTTATATTCTTAAATGAAGCAAACTTCTCTTATTTTCTCTTCTCTTTAATCTTGAAGTAGCAGCACCCTTTTTAAAACTAAAGGCTGTTACAAGATATGCATAAAACTGATTTAAATTAGCAAAGCGAAGGCTTTAAGCACAGTCCCTAAACCACCATTTATAATCCTCTTTAACAGACCTCCTTCGCCTGTAAAATGCCCTAATTATTCAATTTCCCCACTCCCAGTTAAAAACGTAAGTATTCTGCCTCAAGTCTTAAGCATTAGCTATGATAACTGATTACCTTATGTGAATATTAGTTTAAATAACGCTGCTTTAGAGCTACAGAGGATGTGATACAGCACTGTCAAAACAGGCTGTGGGGAACTCTCAATATTGTGTAACAGAACTGACAGGAGATTTATAAATAAAATGTGAAAATTCAAGCTTCAGATACACAATATTTGAACATCATACTTTCCCCAGCGTTCTTATGTTTTCAGCAGAAGAAAACAGAAACACACACACACACCCTTAATGTGATCAAAGCACCTCCTCTGGTATCAATGCACTCTTT